AATCCCTTGGGCTCCTCAGCAGCAGCTCCCTGGGGACACACGTGCGGGTCCCTGGCAGGTGCTCAGCTCCAGGGTTATTTTGGAGCCCTGGCAGCCGGACTCCCCCCCCCTGCTTCCCCGTGGGCAGGGTGAGGCCTCGTGCGTGGCGGCGGTTCCGGTGCCGCTTCCCTGCTAATCCAGGCAGCTCCCTCTTGACTTCCCGGCCTGTCCCTGAGGGGGGATAGAGGTGAGCCGGGGAAGTGAGAGGAAGTGTCCGAGCAGAGACACTGAGCTGGGGAGGGCACAAAGCCACCCTCCTGCCTGCCGGGAGACTCAGCCGAGGCTGCAGCCAGGAGCGTGTCACGGGCGATGCCTCGGCCAGGGCTATTTCGGTGCCACCGGGCTCTCCAGCTTGGACCCGCTCCGGCTGGGAAGGACGGCTGCCTAAGGGGTCACCGGGGTCCCCGTGGCCGTGCTGGGCTCGAGGGGCTGGCGGTGGTGGCAGTGGGGAGATGCACAAAGGCTAAGGCAGGGCGGCTCCCGCTCACGTTCCAATGTATCCACATCACCATCCGCAGCTCCCGAGCCCGGGCGAGCCTGCCCGCCACGCGGGTGGGATGGGAACGGGAACAGGAATGGCTGGGCTGGCACTGGGGGACGAAGTCTGGTCCTATCTGAGCCGGGCTGGGAGCTGAGGCTATGCCAGGGCAAGAGGGAGGACACCGGAGCCTTCCCCGTGCCAAGGCAGCGGAGCAGAGGATCCATGGAGGATAAACCAGCTCCCTGCTGTTGGCCGGGAGAAGCGTTGAGAACAGCACAGGTTTGTGAGGAGAAGGGCTCCTGCCAGTCCCAGTCAGGCCAGCGACCACACAGCTTCCCACATCACACCAGCACCGTGAGCTGGCAACAACAGGCGCTGCCAACCCAGCACCAGCTGGAGACTAGGAAGGGTTGGGAGGTGGTGGGATGGAGTCAAGGTGGGAGTGGAGGGATGGAAAGAAAGAAAAAAAGAATGAAAAAGAAAAAAAGAATGAAAAAGAAAAAAAGAATAAAAGATAAAAAAGAAAAAGAAAGAAGAAAAAAAAACAAGAAAGAAAGAGAAAAAAAGAAAGGAAAAAAATTAAAAGCAGAAAGAAAAAAGGAAAAAAAGAAAGAAAATAAAAAGAAAAAATTAAAAGAGAAAAAGAAAAATAGAAAAGGAAATAAAAAGAAAAAATAGAAAGAAAAAGAGAAAAAGAAAGAAAGAGAGATGAAAAAAACCCAGATTGAGGTGTGACCCTTGTCAAGTCAACCACACAACAGGGAGCACCATCCTCAGGGTCATCTGAGCAGCACCAGCGCTGCCCACCCACGTCCCTGCCTGTGCCCCCACCAGCCTCACGCTGCACCTGGGGAGAACCAAGGCCAGACCCCCACACTGCCCCCCACACCACACAGGTGCCACGAGGGGACCCCCCCAAACCCCCACAGGCAGCTGAGCCTCTGAGGTGGAGCCAGAGCCCGCCTGCAGCTCCAGCCCAAGGGATGAGGTCTGGCAGGAGAACCCTGGGCACAGGCAGGGAGGTCCCACAGCAGCACACCCCCCAGAGCAGAGCCCTCGTGGGGTGCAGCACGAGGCCGGGCTCGGAGCAGGCAGCGGCTGCTGCCAGCAGGGAAGAGGTTACGAGCCGGGGAAAGCTGCTCAATAATTAAATAAATATCAGCGATCAATAAGCACAGAGCAAAGGCAGAGCTGCAGTGGTCGTGCTGTGGGCAAGGCGGGGGGGGGGGTCCCCGAATCTCTCCCCCGCGGCCACACTGGCTGTTTTGGGGGGGAGATTTCGGGGGCGCCCCGCTCGCCTGCACCGCGGGCCCTGGCACGGCCGCCCTGCCGCGTGCCACCGGACCGTGCTGGCGTGGCCTGGGGTGACACCAGCGTCCCCAGCACGGCTCAGGGCTGCCCCTCCACACCCCGACACACAGGTGGGGACTGGCATCGCCCCCCTTGCCTCCGAGGCTGAAGGGGTGCCCCCCATATCCTGTCATGCACGACCCCTCCCGCCCTCTCGCCCGCCAGCGCGGCGCGGCACGGACGGGTGCAAATTGTCCCAAACTCAGAGGATTTGGAAGAAAAAGCCTGTGCCCCCCCCCACCCCTTGCACCCCACCATGTGCAGCCAGGCTGGAGGGGGGGAAGGAAAAAGTTTCACGCTACGCAAGAGGCAGCACGGCCGAGGCCAAACCCGCAGTGCCAAGTCCCGCCCGAGCCGCCCCGAATCCACCCAGGACCCCCTGCACCCCACAGTGTCCCCCTGCACCCCCAGAGCCGGCGGCTTCCCCGCACCACCCACCTCTGAGCACGGCAAACAAAAAATAAAACCCAAACCACAACGCAACCTTCCAACCCCCCCCCCCCACGCCCCAAGTGAAAGTGAAGGCTGAAAAACCCCCAAAAGCACCAGAAACACCCAAAAAAAACCCCTACAAAAGGCGACGGGAGGGGGGGTGGGCAAGAGGGAAACGCAGCTCCTCTGAGCAGCCCTGCACGGCCCCAGCCCGCCTTTCCCTGTTATGATTATTTTTATGGGGGGGTGTTGTTGCTTTTTCTTGCTTTTTCTTATTTTTTTTCTAATTTTTTTTGCATAGCAACTGTTAAAGTCCGTTGCGGCGAAAGAGGCAAATTTGGGGGGGGGGACGCGGGGGGGTCCCGGTTACCTGGGTCAGGCAGAGAGGAGACGAATACATCCCGAGCCGTGCTGGGAAAGTGCCTAATTGCAGGGCTGAGACTCGAGGCGTAAAAGTTACTGAGTCATTTCGGAGGCTGGAGCAGTCCGGGCGTTTTTTCTCTCTCTCTCCTCCGGAGCGGCTCTGCGGGGCCCGGGGGGGGGGAGCCGGGGAGGGGGGGGGGGGCCCCCGGGGGGGGGGGGGGCGGGGAGGAAAAAAAAAAATTCCAACT